TCAAAACAGCCTCCTTGTATTCCTCACTTGTCATGCTTGAAATTTCCAATTTAGAACCAAACAGATGGGTATGCAAATTTATTGAACCTGCAGGCAGCCTCGGGCTGAAATAGACAGTTCAAATTTATACATCCTGACGTAAACCTTAAGAGACTCTTTGTTGAGAAGTATGGAACACTACCACTCCCTACAGCCTAAAAGAAAGAGAAAGCAAAAGTTAAAAAGTATACTTACGTGACTACATCATGCACTCTAGATACTAATGCTTCCAATCGGTTCATTCCATCATTAAAGGCCTCCTCAACAGAAGAATATCGATCTAATTGCACCCAGTGAATGACATATGCTTTCTGCAAAAAAAAAAAAAAAAAAAAAAAGAAGGAACATAAAAGATAAATAATGTTCACAAATATCTCTTTTAATCTTTCCAATCAAAAGATACAATCGATAGCCAAGACATGGGGGATTCTTTTACTTCTCCCTCGTGATAAATTTTACAGCCAAAGATTGGGAAAAAATTAAAGAGAAATTTTGTTTAGTCAAAGTATGTAGAAGCTCTTATCACGATAATCATGTCCGTGTGGATTTGAATCTACGCTTCTGTTTTATGTTTGCTAGAGTGAAGCGATTGCAGAGAGTGAATGTCAGATCCAGCTTGAAATACTTACTACCAGGAAATACGGAAGTTAACTACCACAAAATGATAAAACCTACTCAGCACAAAAAAGCATCAAACACGAGAAAAAAAGAGACGCTCAAAAGGGCATGGTTTGACAGTTTAACTACCTTCTCCACATGATCAAAAACAATCACGTCGTCATAAAGGCCTAGATAAACATCGGGAAGATTTCTGTCATCCAGAGGGGCAGAAGAAAATGGTAGTTTTTTCTTCTCCACATAGCGCACAGTATCATATGAGAAAAAACCAACCCATCCACCTGATAAAAGAGCATATCATTGAACATCAACTAGTCACCTCATAGAAAAATCCTTTATTGCTCCGGGACTGGATCAAACAATAATTTAAAATACTAATCTAACAATATCTTTGTGAGAATTACCAATACCAAACAATATTCAACCTTACATTTTTTCACAAGAAAGAATTGGTACGGAATGCCTCCCGTTTCGCACGTGATGGGCCAAACGGGAGGCCCGTCACGTGCCGCACGTTGGGTCCGCAAAGGGCTCAACGGAAAAAAACTGAATTTTAACCCAAAAATTCCCTATAAATACCCATTAATTCCACCATAAATCCCACACAATAATTCACTCTCATCTTCTCATCTCACTTTCATTCTACCTCTCAACTTGTCTCTTTGATTTTGATTCTAAGCTTTTTTCTCGTTTTCATTCATTTTCTAGCTCTTTCATTTACAAAGTTCAATCAAGTTCTATCAATTTTCAGAAAATGACCCCACCAAATTTCCCTGATTTCACTGCTCTTCCTAAGCTTGGTGAGGAGACATTTTTTTAGGAAAAAATGATGCCTTCCAACCCCACCCCCACTGAACCAGAAAATGCTCCGGTGGATAATACTTCAGTATACAACGAAGAAGCTAGAGAACGCAGCAGAGGAAAAAGACCGCGAACTTTTCCGGCATGGCAGCATTTCACCAAGGAGCCCCGACCAAATCCAAAACCAGGTGAGATGGAAATTCGTGCGGTATGTAAATATTGTAAAAAGCACTTTTCTAATAAAAAAGGTGGGGGTACTGGTCATCTGGATAGACATTAGAAAATATGTCTACCGTTGCACCAAGGTGGGAGTGTGGACTCCCGCTAACAAACACTATCACTCACATCACATGGGTTACAAAATTTTACATACGATGCACAACGTGCGCGTGAGGCACTAGCTAAATTTCTAGCTAGTGCCGAATTGCATCTTTCTTTTGCAGATGATGCCTCCTTCGAAGAATTCATCCAGACGGCCTTTTGCCCACAATTTAAACGGGTAAGTAGAAACACAACTCGTTCTGATTGCATGAAAGTTTTTTATGCAATGAGACAATCTCTTGTTGATAATTTTAGGACTTTTAATGCTATTGTGTCTTGCACTTCTGATATGTGGGAGGGGTGTAATAAAACTGGATATTTATGTGTCACAGCGCACTACGTTGATGACGATTGGATTTTACAAAAAAGAATAATTGGTTTTCGTTTATGTCCATATCCTTATAACGCAACAGCTATTCTCAGTACAATAATGGAAATTTTTGGGTTTTATGGGATAGAAGATACAGTTTTAACAATTACTTTTGATAATGCGTCAGCTAATACAGCTGCAATTAATCTGTTTAAACGTAGTTTGAAACTGGCATTTGAGGGGAAATGTTTCATCAACGGTGTGCATGTCACATAATTAATTTAGTAGTTCAGGCAGGAATTGAACATATCTCTGCTAATCTTACAAATATTAGAGAATCATTATCCTTCATATCTAGTTATAGAGCTCGGCTCCAAGAATTCAAACAATATTGCAGGAACAGCCAGATGCGCCTAAGAAAGTTTCCAACTAATGTGAGACATAGGCGGAATTCAACATATTTAATGTTGAAGGCAGCACTCCCGTATTCACAGCTTATCACGACATACGTAAACAGTAAGCACGATCAAATTTTAATTTTCGATCCTGATTGGCAGATTGCTGAGTATTTTTTTAAATTTTTAGAAGTTTTGTACAATGCTACTGAATTACTTTATGGAGTTTATTATCCTACTGAACATTTAGCTTTACATCAACTATTTAATATTTCAGAAACATTTTCTTATTATAGGGATACACAACTTTTTGGAAATATAGTTAACTTAATGGAAAATAAATTTAAAAGTTATTGGTCAGGTTGTCCTATGTTATATGCATTGGCAACCATTTTAGATCCTAGGTGCGGAGTAGATGGAACTAAATCATTGATGACTGCTACCGCAGAGAATTTAAAAATAGATATGCAACTAAGTATTACTGACGCTAAGAAAATGTTAGAAAAAGTTTTTAATTTGTATGAAGCAAAATATAGCACAGGTAAAAAAGAACAGGGAACTTCGTCGTCAACTATCAGTTCGGGGCCTAAAGGATCGTCATGGAGTTTCTTGAAGAAGAAAGAGAAAACGGCAGCATCGTCCTCAACACAAGCGTCTACGGAACTAGTCAAATATTTTGAAGCAAATTTTGTAATCGATGACGACAAACTAGACATCTTACAGTGGTGGAAGAGCAAGACAGATCATTTTCTAGCACTGTCCATAATAGCTCGTGACATTTTGACAACTCCAGTGTCAACGGTAGCATCAGAGTAAACTTTTAGTGCAAGCAACCGAATTCTTGACGAGAAGAGAAGCAGAATACATCCAGATATCTTGGAGGGACTAATGTGCGTTAAAGACTAGGAAGATGTCAGAAGACGAAAACAACAATACAAAGATGATTCGATGCAAGAATATTTTTCTAACTTAGAAATAACAAAATCTTCTGGAAGCACTTAGGTTTGTAATTTACTATTCCTAGCTACTGCACTCTTTTTTCCTTCACTAAGGTTTTGTCCCGATCTCCCCACGGGTTTTACTTAGCAAGGTTTTTAACAAGGCAGTCATTTATGTGTACTCTTATTACGTCAATTCAATAAAATCACATCTTTTAGGGCATTTGATATTTTTTTTTAATTAAATTTTAAAAAAAAATACAAGGGCTGGGGGCGGCCAGTGAAGGGCCTGGGCCCAGGCCCAGCCCTAGCCCTTATGGACTAGGGCCAAGGGCCAGGACCGGGCTTGAGTTTTTCTTCTCAAGCCTGGCCCAAGCACGGCCCTGCACTGTGCAGGGCCGCGCCTAGCACGGCCTAGGCCCGTGATGGGCCTGGGGTCAAGCGTGCCGTGCCAGCCTAGCACGGCACGTTTGACAACACTAGTACGCACGCGTGAATGACTCATTTCAGACCCAAAATAAATGAGGGGAGGAATGAGCAGGAAAATTGGGCAAATTATTTCGAATGCCGGCTTAATGTAATTTTAATGTGTACATTTATATATTTTTAAATATATAAAATAAACAAGTTAAAATGTGAAATTTTAATATATATATATATATATATTATAGCTATTTCTAAACGCTATGATTTATAAGTGTAGTAACGCTTTTTGAAAAATACTATAATTAACGGCTACGAAAGGCCTACTGTGGTGTAGTACAACTTCAGCCAAAGGAGTAAAAGTTTGCCTAGGCACAACAACATTACTCCTTATGTTGTCCTTTGCCCATTCGCAGGCAAGATTTCTTGCCAATTGGTTCATCCCAGCTGCAAATTAAGTAGATTACAGGCACCCAATAATTTTGTCATCAAATCCGAGCTAATAAACAAAGCAATTAATAAAATCTGCTATTTATTAGGTTAAGTTTATAAAATCTGTTATACAGTATAATTTCTCTGAATATTATTAGAGAAAAGTACATAATTTATCATAATTTTATGAAAACTTATTATTTATACCATTTTAAATAAATCGTTATCATTATGTCTTTTTATTTTCTTTTTATTAATTAAATAACAATTATTTTTTTAAAAGTGAAGTGACATAAATAATATTTTTTTCTTGATATTTTTTTTATTTTCCCATATAATTTTTAGTTCTCGCTCAGTTACAAGCAACGACAAATAATGGTCCCAACAAGAGAAAAGGAAAGCAAGCCTTAGTGTATGTGATAAATATAAAAGCAAAAGAAGAAAGGGCAGCTGAGGAGCGGAGCAAAAGATAAAAGAAAAGGAAAAAAAAAAGGAAAAAGGAAAAAGAAAAAGAGAGAAATAAATCAAACATCTTGTTTGGTTAGCCATTTGAAAGGTAGTGATTTAGTTTGAATTGTAAAATTTAAATTGTGGTCAATTGAATTGCGATTCAATTCAATATTTAGATAAGTAAATAAATTATAATTTAAATTAAGAATAAAATTTAAAATGTGTTTAGATAGGGTGTTAAAATAATATTACTTAACGATACCATGCCAGATGAACAATGTCCAACACCACACAATTCAACATACCATTGTACTTCGATCTCTCGAAGGAAAACAAAATAAAAAAATAAAAAAATAAAAAAAAACAGAAAAAAAAAACAAAAAACACCACATATTTTGCACAATAGTACTATTACAACGTGCCAAACTGCAAGAAGACGAAACATGATCTGAGGGCCATAAACCCTTGTGCCTCTCAAATGCCAAGCGCTGTAAAGCCTCCATCAACACAGATGGCTTGCCCAGTTATGTAAGAAGCTGCTGGTAGGCATAGGAATGCCACCAATGCAGACACTTCATTTGTCTGTGCCACGCGTCCAAGGGGCGTTCGATTAATGCAGGGCCTTATGAAGCTTTCATCATTAAAAAGCTGCAAAATTAAGGGGAGCTACAATTACTAATTTACCTTACATTCAAGACTATTTGTTAAGAATATATATATATATATATATATATATATATATGTATATTGACAATTTTTAAAGGTAAAGAAATTGTGGAGTCTTCTCTCATGTTAATCAAAAGCATATGTATTCTGATCTTTATTATTATAAAGAATATAATAAGAAACTTATATAAATCTGACTAGCAATGCGTATATATCAACTTTTTGAGAAGCGAGAGGAATGAAACGTTACATCTTCAGCGAAAGGTGTATAAGTAGTCCAAGGCACAACAGCATTACTCCTTATGTTGTCCTTTGCCCATTCGCAGGCAAGATTTCTTGCCAATTGGTTCATCCCAGCTGCAAATTAAGTATATTACAGGCACCAAATAATTTTGTCATCAAATCCGAGCTAATAAACAAAGCAATTAATTAATGGATAAATAACGATGCAAATAAATTTACCTTTAGCAACGCCGTGTATGGGTTCGAAACTTAGTGTTCTAACACTAGCTGCGGAGGAGATACAAACGATACTAGCTGCTCCTGAAGCTTTCAAGAGAGGATGACAAAGTTGGCAGAAATTGTAAGCAGATTCAAGGTTTGTTTTTATTAGGAATGAGAAATCTTCAGCTGTGTGCTCTAGGGTTTTTTTTGGTAGGCAGGTGGCCCCCACATTGTTCACCTAGAACCAGAAAATAGAAGTTAAATCAAGGTTTAGTTTAAAACGTTCATCATAAGAACATATACATATAATCTCCTACCACTTTTTTCCTTCTTTCATGCACAAAATTTGAAGCGCATCAGTTTTCCTACAAGTTTTTTATACTAATATTTACAATACAATGACCTAACTTTTGTGTGCGAGGCTTCTATTATATGCTACGGATTAGTGTTGCTGGTAATTAAATTGGAGATCATGTTTAATTAAAAAAAAAAAAAAATGGCGCCTGAGAAATTTTACGAGGATGTTAAGCTTTCCATTGAAGACCAACGAAACTTTGTTAATCAGCTCTTTTCGATCTTCTTCAGATGCTACATCGCAGACAGAACCATATACTCGGAATCCTTTCCTCTTCCACTCAGCTAAGCGCTCATTAATTTCGACTTCATTCCTAGAGCATGTGTATACAGTTGCCCCAAATCCTGCCAATTCCTCCACAATAGCTTGCCTAATAATAAGCACAATAAATAGCTACAGTAAATTACATATGGTGCAAACTATATATAAATGATATTTAAGAAATATGTGGGTATAGTCCACAAATATATATATATATATATATATGTTTTTTTAAAGAAATATGCGATCATCAACATAAATAAGGAGCGAAAATAAGAAGAGAATAGAGACCCGATTCCTTTGGTTCCGCCGGTAACAAGAGCGGTCGTTCCCTCAAGGGACCATCTTTGGTTCGCGATACCAGTAGCCTCAGCCATTCTGTTTTCAGTTCCACAAGAATTGAGTGCTTAAAATAGTGATAAGAGAGAGACCTCAATTTAAGGCTTGTGCTTATATTTTGTTATTTTGAGAACAAACGACTGTATAATATATATTTGAAGGCCACCTAGGCGCGTGAATAGTAGTCGATACAAATACAATAATGGTAAAAGAGATTTTTATGTCTATAATAGCGGCAATGATGAGAGAGAGAAAAAGAAATACCATTTATGAGGTGGTTCCCAATGACTTTATGAGATAGAGAAAAAAATTCAAGAGAAATGCTAGTAACTATCCCCTCCATCACTTTCTTTCACAACCATTTGTTAAAAAGGTGTCGCGGCACATGTTTAATTCAGGTGATGTCTAACTCAGGTGATGTGATGTTTGGTAGATAGATTCGGGTTTCTTAATTTGAATTATAATTTGTGGATTATTATAATATTTTTTCTCATAAAAAATACATAAATCAAAAATAATTCTAATCACATAATTTTAATCATGAACCAAACGCATTCTTAATTTGCAACTCATGTTTAAAATCTCATGTCCTGCTGTCGCTATCACTATTTTCTTTTATATGTTTCTAATAAAGGTCATTTGTTGTAATTTTTCAAATTCAACAAGACAGTCATATGTTTTCTCGAACCTTAGGGGGCGTTTGGTAGATGGATTCGTTCCTTAATTCGAATCATGATTCATGGTTCGTTACAGTATTTTATCTCATAAAAAATACACGTAAATTAAAAATAATTTGAATCACATGGTTTGAATCCTCCAACCAAACGAACCCTTAGTGTGCGCATTTGGATGTAACGACGTCGTTCTCTGCCAACATAGTCATGATATATTCAAGAAGAAGCAAATTTTAGACTAGTACTGGTACAACTCGGCCATCTTCATTTCTTCATGAATAAATAAATCTTAGTCATTTTCTCAGACGATAAAGTCGCATCTTAACATTATTATTAGTTGATACATAGTGGTTCGATAATGTTATGGGAATTTTCAGAAAAACCATAAAAAAAAATGTAAATAATTGTGTAATGACAAAAATAAAAGAATTAAAAAAAATAATAGTAATATTAAGGAGAATGATGGAAATAGCAGATTAGGCTTTAATAAAAACAAATAGCAGTATTTTAAGGAATGGAAGAAAATAGCAGATAATGTACATCACAAATCTCAAAAATCTAGAAATGCCCCTGCCCAATTCTCCCACCAAACTGTCTCCCAATCTCTCTCCTCTCGACCTCTCTTTTCGCCGCACCTCACTCAAACGTCGCTGCCGCCCTTCAATCTCCAACCGGAGAAGCCACTGGTCGCGATGTCTCATCGGCGCTTGAGCCCCAACGGTCTTCTCTTTCGTGAGCCATGGGTTTCGCGAGCGCTGCACTGGCTTAGTGCGCGAGCTTCGACTCACAGAGAGAGAGAGAGACTTGCAGATGCAGAAAGCGAGAGCGTGAGAGAGAGAGCTGCAGATATATATATATATATATATATATATATATATATATATATAGAGAGAGAGAGAGAGAGAGTCTGCGTGTAATTAAAAATAAGGGTAAAATGGGAATAATAAATGAGCTTTTTGAAAAGCTACTATTTGTTAACAAACTTAAAATGTGATTTTATGTTAAAATTTTTTACTCTAATAAAAAAGTTAGATGTAATTATTTGTGAAAGCTTTTTACTGTAGTAAAACTTGAATTCTAAACTCGAATTAGCGAAATGAACGAAGCCTTAGGCTATGTTCATTTCACCGATTTGAGTTTTCAGTTTTAGATTTTTACAGTAAAAAGCTCTCAGAAAATATCACATTAACTTTTTTTATTACAGTAAAAAGCTCTTAAAAAATATAACATCTCAACTCAAATTAAAACCTTAAATCCGTGAAGTGAATGAGGCCTAAATAATTATCATGTTATTTATGAGGTTAAGTTTAAAAATTTGTTATACAGTACAATTTTTTAAAATATTATTAGAAAAAAGTACAGATTTATCGTAATTTTATAAAAATTTGTTATTTATACTTATATAAATAAATAGTTGTCTTTGTGTCTTTTTCTTTTTATTTTATTAATTAAATAATAATTATTTATTTTAAAGTGAGGTGATATAAATAATATTTTTATCGTGGTATTTTTGTTTATTTTCCCATATAATTTTTAGTTCTCGCTCAGTTACAAGCAACGACAAATAATGGTCCCAACAAGAGAAAAGGAAAGCAAGCCTTAGTGTATGTGATAAATATAAAAGCAAAAGAAGAAAGGGCAGCTGAGGAGCGGAGCAAAAGATAAAAGAAAAAGAAAAAGAGAGAATAAATCAAAGGTCTTGTTTAGTTAACCGTTGGAATGGTAGTGATATAGTTTGAATTGTAAAGTTTAAATTGCGGTCAATTGAATTACGATTTAAATTAGTGTTTAGATACGTAAATAAATTATAATTTAAATTGAAAATAAAATTTAAATTATGTTTAGATAGGGTGTTAAAAATCATATTACTTAACGATATCATGCCAGATGAACAATGTCCAACACCACACAATACAACATACCACAGTACTTCCATCTCTTGAAGGAAAAAAAACAAAAAAACAAAAAAAAACAAAACAAAACAGAAAAACGAAAAAAAAAAACAAAAAACACCGCATATTATTGCACAATAGTACTATTACAACGTGCCAAACTATAAGAAGACGAAACATGGTCTAAAAGCATAATTCCTTGTGGCTCATGAATGGTGAGAGAAGAAGCCTCTCAAATGCCAAGCGCTGTAAAACCTCCATCAACACAGATGGCTTGCCCAGTTATGTAAGAAGCTGCTGGTAGGCATAGGAATGCCACCAATGCAGACACTTCATTCGTCTGTGCCACGCGTCCAAGGGGCGTTCGATTAATGCAGGGCCTTATGAAGCTTTCATCACTAAAAAGCTGCAAAATTTAGGAGAGCTACAATTACTAATTTACTTTATATTCAAGACTTGATTGTTAAGAGTATGTTTTTTGTTTTGGTTTTTTACATTTTTTAATGGCAAAGAAATTGTAGAGTCCTCTCACATGTTAAGAATATAATAAGAAACTAATATAAATATGACTAAAAACACGTATATATCAACTTTTTAAAATTTTTTAAATTCCGCTGCGCACTCGATGCCCTTAATTTTCCAACAGTAACGGGACCTATCAGCCGTTAGATCGAAGCTCTCATCGCGATCTACAAATGGCACGGGAACGGTGAAAACTTTTGGTGTCGTAATGAGGCCCACAATTCGTCATATCAAAGCTCTCTTCGCCCTCTACAACCGCCAAGAAACTTGATTGTTAAGAGTATGTTTTTTGTTTTGGTTTTTTACATTTTTTAAAGGCAAAGAAATTGTAGAGTCCTCTCACATGTTAAGAATATAATAAGAAACAAATATAAATATGACTAAAAACACGTATATATCAACTTTTGAAGAAGTCGGAGAAACGAAACGTTACAGTTTCAGCGAAAGGAGTAAAAGTTTGCCAAGGCACGACAGCATTACTCCTTATGTTGTCCTTTGCCCATTCGCAGGCAAGATTTCTTGCCAATTGGTTCATCCCAGCTGCAAATTAAGTAGATTACATGTACCAAAAAATTTTGTCATCAAATCTGAGCTAATAAACAGAGCAATTAATTAATGGATAAACAGCGATGCAAATAAAAATTTACCTTTAGCAACGCCGTGTATGGGTTCGAAACTTAGTGTTCTAACACTAGCAGCGGAGGAGATACAAACGATACTAGCTGCTCCTGAAGCTTTCAAGAGAGGATGACAAAGTTGGCAGAAATTGTAAGCAGATTCAAGGTTTGTTTTTATTAGGAATGAGAAATCTTCAGCTGTGTGCTCTAGGGTTTTCTTTGGTAGGCAGGTAGCCCCCACATTGTTCACCTAGAACCAGAAATTAACAGTTAAATCAAGGTTTAGTTTAAAACGCTCATCATAAGAACATATAGATATAATCTCCTACCACTTTTTTCCTTATTTCATGCACAAAATTTGACGCGCATCAGTTTTTTTACGAGTTTTTTATACTAATATTTACAATACAATGACCTAACTTTTGTGTGCGAGGCTTCTACTATATGCTACGGATTAGTGTTTCTGGTAATTAAATTAGAGATCATGTTTAATAAGAAAAAAAAAAAGGCGCCCGAGAAATTTTACAAGGATGTTAAGCTTTCCATTGAAGACCAATGAAACTTTGTTAATCAGCTCTTTTCGATCTTCTTCAGATGCTACATCGCAGACGGAACCATATACTCGGAATCCTTTCCTCTTCCACTCAGCTAAGCGCTCATTAATTTCGACTTCATTCCTAGAGCATGTGTATACAGTTGCCCCAAATCCTGCCAATTCCTCCACAATAGCTTGCCTAATAATAAGCACAATGGATAGCTACAGTAAATTACATATGGTGCAAACTATATATAAATGATATCTAAGAAATATGTATAGTCCACAGTTTTTTTTTTTTAAAAGAAGTATGGAATTATCAACATAAACAAGGAGCGAAAATAAGAAGAGAATAGAGACCCTATTCCTTTGATTCCGCCGGTAACAAGAGCGGTCATTCCCTCAAGGGACCATCTTTTGTTCCTGCTAGCAGTAGTACTACCTGTCTCAGCCATTTCTGTTTTCACTTCCACAAGAATTATTACATATGCTTCAAGGTGCTTAATATAGTGAGGCTTGTGCTTATATTTTGTGTTATTTTGAGAACAAACAACAGTACTGTATATTTTAGAAGGCCAGCTAAGCGTGTGAATAGTAGTTTGTTTTTTACAATCATAGTAAAGATATTTTATGTCAATAATAGGAGCAATGATGAGAGAGAAAAAGAAATACAATTTATGAGGTGATTCCCATGATTTTATGACAGCCAAAAAAAGAAAATCTAAGAAAAATGCTATCCCTCCATCACTCTCTTTCACACTCATGGGTAAAATCTTATGGAGGAATTATATTGGGTGTATTACGTTATATTGTTAATGTGGTACACCCGTTAAATGAGACTGTACTATTTAGATATTTTGTCTATGTCAATTTTTTACTTTTATTTTTTCATTTCCTAATAGATATTTGTATTAATTATTAAGTCAAAAGCATTTATTATTCTATCTAATTTCTTTATTTTAATGACTTAACTTTAAATTATTATTTTTATTCCTAAAATACAATAATCAAATTTCTCTGAATGTCCCTTGCTATTCCATCGGCTGAGGGAAAAAAAAAAAAACTTTCTATCATTCATCTGCTTTATCTGCACAACAGGGTTATCTTTCAATTCCGCGATTGAAGAGTTAAAGGCAAGATAACAAAGAGCTCAACAATATGGAAATTGAAATAGGTATTAATCTATTCAAAGTTTTGTAAGCAGGTCTTCATTTTTTTATTTATTTTAAATAGTTTTGAGCATTTGGGTAATGATTCTTGTTATATATATATACACACTCACACATTTGTATATTTGTTTTATACCATTGTTATCTTCATATAATTATTAGAAAAAAAGAATCTTGATACATGCATACCATTTAAGCTTTTAATTGCTTGCTTTTTTCTTTATCTTTTTTTTTTTTCCTTCTTGTGCCGTTGAACGGCTTTAAATCTTTTGCTTGTTTTTTTAATGTGCTCAATTTGGAACGAAATGGACAAGCAAGAACGATAGTTCATAAAAGATTGAATTCAAAATGTATATGAGTATATTTAACTCAAAGTAAGGAACATATAAAAAGTAGAAGTATTATAATATATATATATATATATGTATGTTAGCAACTTAAAAAAGAAGAAGAAGAAAGTTCAGCCGATGGAATAGTAAGGGATGTTAAGAGAAATTTGATTATTGTATTTTAGGAATAAAAAAAATAATTTAAAGTTAAGTCATTAAAATAAAAAAAAATTAGGTAAAATAATAAGTGCTTTTGATTCAATAATCAATGTAAATACCTATTAAAAAAGATAAAAATAAAAATAAAAAGTTGATATAAATAAAATATCTAAATGGTATAATCTTATTAAATGAATGTATTACATAAATAAATAACATGACGTAATATACTGTATATTGAATAATTCCTCAATTTTTTGTCCCCCGTCGCTATCACTATTTTCTTTTATATCTTTCTAATAAAGGTCATTTTGCTGTGATTTTAAGCAAATGAAAAGAAAGGGCAGCCGTGGAGTGGAGCGGAAGAAAAAGAAAAGGAAAAAGAGAGAAATAAATCTGTGTCATTTTCTCAAATGATAAGTCACATCTCAATATTGTTATTGGTCGATAGTACATAGTGGCACCATAACAGTATTGTTGGTCCTGCCCCAGTTGTGGGCTAGACCACATAATGGGCCTCTTGGCCCAAATGCTTTAAAAAATAACAAAATGATAGTAAATAGTACATTTTAATTAAGTAAATAATAATTTATTGTGTAAAAATATCATTTATGACGTAAAAATTATTTACGTGATAAAATTGTTTTATTTACATAGAAAAAAAAAATTTATGTAGAAAAGAAAATTTACGTAGAAAAATATCTTTTTACTAGTCATAAATAAAACGTTTAGCGGATTTACTTTAAATAGTTTTAAAATATGTTATTTACTTAAGTTATGGTCTGTTTGTTTCATATACTTAAACTTTAATCATTGATTATGCTACAATATTTTTCTCTCATAAAAAATTTAAATTTAAATTGTAAAATAAAGAATTATTATTTGAATATACTTTTCAAACAGACCCTTAATTTTATAAATCTGTTATTTACTACATCCTTTCTAAAAATCATGGAAAGCTTGTTGAGCAAGCCTTAGTGCACTTGATCATTATTAAGCAAAAGAAAAGAAAGGGCAGCCGTGGAGTGGAGCAAAAGAAAAAGAGAGAGATAAAGAGAAAGAAGGGCGGGTATGGTTTTGAGCTGTTGCTTTGGTTAATTCACTTTGTTAGTATTTTATTTCGGATACCATTTTTACACGTAAAGAGGTAAAAGCTTTTATTCCGCAATTGTTATTACGGATAGTTTTTCCCAACAATTATCTAAATTAATACTTTATAATATGAGAAGATAGGAGACCTATCAATAGGTCGCTCTCGTTAGATTCATCTTCTTATTTGTGTTTGTGATAGACAAGAGAACAAAGCATACAAGATTCCTGAATGTCTTAAGAATTAAGATTATTCTCGCTGCAGGTGCCCCCTAAATTTTTTAGAACTAATTTGGCTTTCGAACTTTACAAACTTTTATTTTATCTTTTTATTAAAAACATACGGAAAAAAAAAGGAGACATGCTACATCACATGGTGTATTTGTAAAACTTCTGTTAAAAATAAACGGAAAAATGTCTGATTAGTCAATATGACCACACTTAACCACCTCTTTTTTGACTAATTTTAACAAAAATCATAACAAATGAGGTTAAGTGGACTAGTTCTCATTTCTGAGAGCTAACTGGTAGTTTTCAAAACTTAAATGACAAACTGAGAATAATCTTAAAAAATTCTAACACATAAAATAAAATTACTTAGGATGTCATACCAGACGAAAAATGTCCAATACTACATAATACAACATAGCATATTACCTTCCAACTCTGAAAGAATAATAATAATAAAAAATACAATTTAGCATATTATTGCATAACATATTATTACGACGAGCCAAACTATAAGCAGACGAAACATGATCTTTATACTACTCTCGTACAGCACCATAGATGGCGTTTTGTGCCATTATCCCTTGTGCATCATCCATAATGAGAGAACGATCAGTTTACTGTAAAGCCTCCATCAACACAAATGGCTTGCCCAGTTATGTAAGAAGCTGCTGGTAGACACAGGAAAGCCACCAATGAAGACACTTCATTTGGCTCTGCCGCGCGTCCAGAGGGCGTTCGACTCATAACCGCCTTTATATAGCTTTCATTACTAAGAAACTACAAAATTTAGGAGAGCAACAATTTCAAATTTACCTTACATGCATGCAAGACTTGTTTGTTAAGAATATGTTTTTTATTTTATTTTTTTTCAATTTTTAAAGTTAAAGAAATTGTGGAGTCTTCTGACATGTTACTCAAAAGGATCTGATTCATAATTGGTTTTTTTATTTTTTTTATTTTAAGAATATTATAAGAAACTGATATAAACATAACTAGCAATACGTATATATCAATTTTTTGAGAAGTAAGAGGAATGATACATTACAGGTTCAGCTAGAGGTGTTCTAGTAGTCCCGGGCAGAACACAATTACTTCTTATATTGTCTCTTGCCCATTCGCAGGCAAGATTTTTGGCCAATTGGTTCATCGCAGCTGCAAATAAGTAGATTATGTATATGTACCAATTAAAAATTTTGTCATCAAATTTGAGCTAGTAAACCGAGCGGCTTATGATAAAGGATATATGTATATATATAGCTATGCAAAATAAATTTACCTTTAGTAACAGCATATGTGGTTCCAGCATCAATTGCTATTACACCAGCAATGGAGGAGATAAAAACGATACTAGCTGCTCCCGAAGCTTTCAGAAGAGGATGACAAAGTTGGCACAAATGGTAAGCAGATTCAAGGTTTGTTCTCATTAGGAACGAGAAATCTTCACCTGTGTGGCCTATGGTTGAACTTGGTTTGGTTGTCCCCACATTGTTTATCTAGAACAAGAAATAGAAGTAAAATAAAGTTTTAGTTTAAAACGTTCTTCATAAAAACATCTAGATAATCTCCAGCCTGCCACTTTTTTTTTTTCTTTTTTTCTTTTGGAACTGTATCTACACTATACTAATATTTACTACGGATTTGTGTTGCCTGGTAATTAAATTAGAGATCATGTTTAATGAAAAAACGGTTTAAGAAACTTTACAAGGATGTTGAGCTTTCCATTGAAGAGCAATGAGACTTTGTTAACCAGCTCTTTTCGATCTCCTTCAAATGCAACATCGCAGACAAAACCATATACTTGGAATCCTTTCCTCTTCCACTCAACTAAGCGCTCATTAAGTTCGACTTCATTTCTAGAGCATGTGTATACAGTTGCCCCAAATCCTGCCAATTCCTCTACAATAGCTTGCCTAATAATAAGCCCAATAAATAGCTACAGTTAATTACATATGGTGCAAACTATATGTAAATGATATCTGAGAAATATGTGAGTATAGTGTATATTTTTTTTTTTTTTTTTTTTTTTTTTTTTTTTTTTTTTTTTCAAGAAGTAAGTATGCGATCATCAACATAAATAAGGAGCAAAAATAAAAAGAGAATAAAGACCCTATTCCTTTGGTTCCGCCGGTAACAAGAGCGGTCTTTCCCTCAAGGGACCATCTTTGGTTCCTGCTACCAGTAGTCATACCTGCCTCGGCCATTCTGTTTTCACTTCTACAAGAATTATTTATTATGGTTCAAGGTGCATAATATAGTGATAAGAGAGAGATCTTAATTTAAGGCTTGTGCTTATGTTGTGTTATTTTTTAGAACAAACAACAATACTATATATGTTAGTAGGCCAGCTAGGCGTGTGAATAGTAATCGATACTGTTGGGGTATTTTCCACCCGCGATGAAGGATCATGCCACGTGTCCATGACTGCTACTTAAACAAGGATCCAGAGAGATACCCTGCTCCCGGTAAAGACCAAATAACAACGATATGGATCGACGCCCATATTGATCGACCTAAGGTGTGGACCTCGATCGCAATTAAGTCTGAGGTCGCCAGAAATTTCGACGCGCTAAGATCAAAATAGACTGAGATCGAGGGAAAGATAAGAATGACTCGTGTCGACGGAAAGGAATGTCCCATCCCGTGCCATCCTTTTTATAATGACTGAAAAAATTTTAAAATTAAATAATGTAAATTTATTTATTTAAGTTAAAAGACTTTTTACAGTAATATATTAGTGGATTATCATTAACAGTAATTTAAATAAATAAAGCGTATAAAAACACACATATATATATATGTTTATAAGTTGTTGTATATCTGTAACACGTATATATATATACACATATACACATTTATTTAGATGATTACATTTGTACATAAAAATATGCATACTTATTTACATATATACAGAGACTTATTCATGTAACCACTTCTTTTTCTTTTCGGCCGTCGTTTCTTCTGAGTTGTAAATAAGAAGGAAAAAAATATTATTAAATTGTAACAATTGTTAATAAACGTGTTCATACTTATTAAAATATTTAATATAACATATACTACAAAATTTTACCTGAGTTGTTTTCTTTTTTTCGATGAACTTGCGAAAGAGGTAGATTCATGAGGGATTGAAACAGACTGAATTGGCTTTGAAACTGATGATGTTTGTTTTGAAGACGCAGTTGTTATAGGTGGTAAATACAACTGAGGTTGCTCGTCGTTAAAAGTCTTCGAAATAACTTTATCAATAAGAGCTCCCCGAGTCCGAAACTGTATGACAAATATTTTTGATATTCCTCTTATTTCTTCTAAAATAGGAGGAATCATGTAGCGATCAGTGTATCCCTCATCATAAGTAAGTGTGGAGCAAGCTTTATTAATAAGTGACTGCACAGTTTTACCGAACATTACAACGTCTGTTCTTCCAGTGTTATCTTCAATCTGTATATTTATTTTGTACCTGTATAAGAAAAGTAAATTATATTTATTGTGTTTATTAGTAGGAAATTAAAGCGCCTATTTTTTATAATAGAATTTATTACCAAGTAAGTGGCATTGTAGATAGATATCCATCGGTGTCACACCACCATGATGTCCCAGATTCTTGTACTTGTCTATAACACTTTGTGCAGGCATAGTAAAACCATCCTTGATGTGTATATAAGTCAGTTATAGTTGCTCTAACTGTATATTTTGTTTCCTGTTATGTAGAAAAGGGAATAATTTAATTTAATATATATACATATTATATTTA